CCACTCATTACTGAATTACTCAAAATGCATCCAAATAGAACGTGCAGAAATTCGACTTTTTCAGCAACAGGTTTCCTGCATACCTTTCTCATCATATGTCCGGACGTGGATGCATAGAGAGAATCCAGTTCTTCATGGGATTTTATGTTTGTTGCCATATTAATCTATGTTTTAACATAACTGTAATCTAATTATCTGCTGTTTAATTCTACTATTGATCTGTTTATACTGAAACATAATAGAACAAATATTTTATACCCCAGACAGACATGTTGACATTGAACAAACAACATAGAACAGACAGACAGACAAAGAACATAAAGACAGACAGACAGACAGACACATGCCGGCTTCTAACATAGTTTTGTTTATAATAATATATAATCCTATTTAACAGATACAGAACGTCGTGGCATTTTTAAGCTTCCAGCGTGTGTGTGTGTCAGCGCACACACACAGACAGGTTCATAAGAGGAGAGAAGAAAAGGGAGGGGGCTTTTGCTAAGAAAAACTTGTTTTGAAACTTTTTTAGATGTTGTCGTACAAATTTTGAAACTTCTCTTATATCCACTGTTTACGTAACAAATTGTTTTGTAATAACTAACGACTTTTCGGCCAAGTATGTTTAAAGATTGGGCACAATTAAGCCTTTTCTGTTAGAACAAACAACTGGACACCTATTTTTCATGCAGGTCAGCTATTAGAAAATGTGACGCAGTTACAATTAAAGTGAAAGCAGACGTCTTTTGCAGATATAAAGTGATCACTTTCTTTCTTTTGTTTAGTCTTTTATGTTTTTAGACTTATTTATATAATTATTTGCACTTTTTATGTTTTGTTTCCTTATTTAATGACTTTAATTACCTCCTTTCATTTTGACCTCTTATGTCCTCTGGGACACTTAGGAGAGGTTATTAAACATCTCTATGTTTTGTAGAGACTGGATCTTACTCTACACTGTTTTCAATCTGATTAAATTACAGTGATTAAGCAGATCTGATTACAGATTCTGGAAGGAGGTTTGAATTTAAACAGATGTTTTTTAGTGTACACTTAGATTTCAAACACACATACAGAATCACACAGAGTCACACGTTAATACAGAATCACACAGAGCTCTTTAGACATTCATACCATTAAATGCCATGGCAATTAATTATTTGTGCACATTATTCTTTAACTTCATAGACCCAAGCTGCCAATATAAACTAATTTGCATGCACTTTTAACTCTTTTTAACAACTTTTGGTCTAACATCATCAACACAGAGCCACACTGCTCTCTGTTGCTTCTTTCTCCGGAGATAAACAACAGCAACATACGAGATCTCAATACAGTCCCTCTGGACTCAGGCCTACAACAACAGCCCTTCAGGCTCGGTCGAACTGCAACTCGGCGACATATAGGAAATTTATTTCCTCACTAGAATGAGATATACATATTAGTTGCATCATTCATAATGATACATCACTTATAATCCGTGACCGCCAGTTTCCACCAATTTCTATAAAGTTATGGTGCAATCTCGCTTCAGCAGATTACTATTAATCATCCAAAAACAAAAATCCGAGCCAGTTCTCGACAGCTACTATTTATCTCAAGATGCCAATTTATGCTGCAGCACATCCGGTGACAGAAAGGTGAATCGTTTAAATTAATTCAGTGGCCAGTAAGAGCTTTCTGCCTATACTAATTAATAAATAGGAGGGTAAATTTAACTTACCTCTCCTTTTGCTTAGTTTTTCCTTGTTTTCACCCGGGAGGTCCTGATTCAATTCAATCCGGCCAAAATGCACCAATTGTGGAAGCTCATTGGTAGAATTCTCTTATGATAGGAAGAAGGCTGACGATTCACTCCATTGTCTCCGGAGGGGGGAAACATTTATTTACAAAACCGAATTCATACAGCTGTCTTAAACACTTCATACATCCAGCGCTATGTCCTCACATCTGTAGTTTTCCCCCACCTTCAATCCATTGAGGGCGGCCTTTTATAGGCTCCACAACGCACTGTGTGGATGCACGCGCACGACTGGACGCTCTGAAGAACCTTCTGGAAGTTCTTGGCCTGTGACCCGATTGCGTGCGAGTCAGCCAGTAAGAAGCCTGTTTTTGCCAAGATTCGTACGTGACTCCGAGCTTGCAGACTCCCTGTTTACATGTTGCAATCTCTGTGTTGCTAAGTGAGCATAAGGTCAGAAACAGGACTACATAACGCAGTACAACTGCTTCCTTGTTTGGAAAGCCAGCCAGCATTAGAGACTTTATTATTACTAAGACTCATACTTGAACTTCAAGATGTACTGTTTTGTTGCTAAGTAAGTTTAGGGCCATGATATTCTGATTCTGATTTCTGATATAAGACAATAAAACTGCTACTACATTAGATGTAATGAGTTCCCAGTACCTCGAATCAGTTTTCATTCTTTGAATAAGGGGCCGGAGCACATTGCTACCAATGATGAATTCATCATGTTGGCCAGGTATCAAAAATGTCGGTACTGTAAATCTGAAGCCATAGATCTCAATGTTCAACTCATAGATGTATCGAGGCTGCGTGAGAAGGCCACCACACCCAACGAGCACCACATTCTCTGGAACCGCAAGAGGGATCAAATCAACACCCGCCGCTCTTAGTTTGCTCTCTGCCTCCACGCTCAATGTGCACGACATACTCCCAGAGTCCAACATACCCCTCAGTGTAGTTCGGTCACTAACTGAAACTGAGGCATAAAACAAATCACTAGCCCTCTGAACTCTCTGTGACCCCAAGAAAATCACTTCTCTGTTCTCAGGTGAAGTATTGCAACACTCAGTATAAACAGAGTGTGCATCCAGTGTAGTCGTGAGGGTATTATCCACTCTGCCCATGCTTCCCCTCTCATCACACGGGCTCTCTAGTTTAAATTAGGATACTGGGAGGACAGCTGCGGTGTGTGATGAGCAGGCTGAGGACAATCCCTTTTAATGTGCCCTGAGCCGAAGCAGTTGAGACACAGTCTGAACAATCTGCAGTGTGAGTGTGTGGTATGCTCCTCTGAGCAACAAACCCTGCATGGTGCATGCTGAGGACGTTTAGAACCACGTGTGTAACTCCTCACATGTTGACCACTTTGTTTTGTAGCAAGAGAAGCTGCACACAGAGACAGAACTTTATCGAACATCTCTGTCATCTGAGGAGGCGGTTCAACTCCTGAACTGGAGGAAAAAGGTGGCTGGGGTGGACCTGTATTCTGAAAGGATGTAGAATGTGGAGCAACATGCTGCTGTGGCTGCTGATTCAAGGGCCCTGAAGCTGAGGAATGATCACATGCCAAAGAAGCTTGGGGAAAACGGACAGCAAATGGTGTAGCATCAGCTGACAACACAGCACTAGGCGTTTGAGCACCAAGCTGAGGATGACAGGAGAGAACAGGGCCCGCAGACGAACCAAGAGTCCTCTTTGTAGTGACCATCGGCTTCCTACGACTTGCAACACGGTTATCAAGGCGGCTCTGGACCTCAGCAGTAGTCCACTCCTCCACAGGTTTCAGCTGGAAGGAAAGAGCTAGACCAGGATCAGGACAATGGTTGATGAACATTGTAACAACTTCAGCTCCTGGATCCTCCACCTGTTTCCCCCTCCTACGCAAACACTCATCAGCCGCTTCAATAGACTTGTTCAGTCGAATCCAGTAGTCCATGGCTGTCTCTCCATCAGCTGGCAGGATGTTATAGAAGTCTCTCATTGGCAAACTGGAGAAGATCAGCTCACCAAAGTTGCGTTTCAAAATATCGAAAACAGTAGAAACCAACTTGTCACTACATGACTGGGGCTGGCAACGAAGCGACACCTGAACCACATCTCTGGCTTTCCCAATAAGTCTGGATGTGATGATCTCACACATTTCTACAGGGTCCACACATCTCATCCTTGACAGATAGCATCTCATCAAACCCTCCCATTCCTGGATGGAGAAGGTGTCAGTGTGGTCACCTTTAAAATATGGAGGTGCTCTAATATCAGACTGAACAACAAACCTCATTTGTGACTGATCGGTCAGGTCGCTGGGTTGGCTGTCAGCAATCTGAGACTGTGACTGACTTTGTGGGTTTAGTCCATTGAGATTTGTCGTAATGGCGTCCCCAATCTGCTTAGCCAGATCAGCAATCACCCCACTGAGAGCCTCAGTAGAAACAAGTTGGGTAGGGTCAGACCTTGCTTTGTCAATGGGTGTAGAAGCAGCTGCAGGGACAGGTGGGGGGTTCATCCCAAGCTGATCAACAAAAAATTCATATGGACTAAAAGGCATAGGTCTACCCCTTCCAAATGACATGTAATGTTGGCCCCTCCCCAAACTAAAAGTGACCTTCCGGTCCACTTCATCACCTTTAAAAGGTACCTCAGTGTCAGACATTTCATCAAACAATAACAGACAAAAGCTATGGAAAATAACAGTGGATCAAAAAGAAGTGATGTCAAAAATAAAGTGCAGATACCCAACAGTGTAAAAACAAATCAGTCACACAAGAACTCAGATGCAACAGTCAGCAAAAGAAACAAAAAAAAGAAAAAAACAACCAGCCTTATCTACAGGTAAAGGGTAATAATCAGACTGGTTTCATGTCTTTACTTTTTTTTTTTTTTTTTTATAATTAATATTATTATTATTTGTTGATCATGTACTGTTTAGGATTGTTTTTATTAACTTTTACAAAATAAAAAAAACTTTTCTAATTATTCTTCACTTATTTCCCCTCTTCCCTTGTATAAAACGAGGTGCACAAAAAAAGAAGACCAACAGAAACAGTTACTTCGTTGCTAGGATACAGCGCGCAAGCGCCTGCCAGTCAAAGCGCAGGGCAAAGGCGGAGCAAGACGTCAAAGGCGGGAAAGGCACAACGTAGCAGCAGCTTCAGCAGTGGAGATTCGACGTTACAGCGGGTCAGACGGCACCAAGTGTAACCGGTTCCCTTCTGCGTTGTGCTGGTTATTGGTAATTAGTCAGGCCGTGACTCGGTTTGGCTTTCTTCGATTTATTCTGACGAAAACATTAAAGAGAAAAGCAATCGTTTTACAAGCTGCCCGCTCCAAGTCCTCTCCCGCAGGACAACATGACAAAAGGGCGGATCATGTCTCACAACATTAAACAAAATAAACCTTCTTTACACAACATACCTGACGAAAACATTAAAGAGAAAAGCAATCGTTTTACAAGCTGCCCGCTCCAAGTCCTACACAAACAAAAATACTTAACAGAAATTAACTTAATAAATCTATAAATAAACTGGAAGTATTTAGATAGGAAATAAATATACACACCTCTCCCGCAGGACAACATGACAAAAGGGGAGGGCCTAAGGGACGCAAACATTTTAAAGACAAAACCATAAAAGAAGAAATAAAAAAAGGAGGGGCTACCGTTCTTAAACTAACACGTTCAAAACAATGACAGCTTTTCGGTCAGGTAGAGAACAATACAAACAACCAAAAAAAGAAGACATTTTGTGTAATTATAACAACAACCAGGTTACACAGGCATCTGCAGTTGGCTGAGCAGTTTTTCTGAGGACCGATGGTCTAGAATCCTGTTTTCCCGCACTTTTCTTTCACCTTCCCATAATGCTTAGCAGTTTACAGTAAAAGTGCAGTAATATTGTAAAAAGAATGACATTCTCTGAAATTGCTGTAATCTTTTTTTTTTCTCCCAGATTGCATTGCAGTTTACAGTATGATACTGTATGGCAGTGATACAGTAAAATACTGTTCAGATTTAACTGTAAATTTACATCAAAGGCTTACAGTGCCGCTGGGTCCGAGGTGTCTTCATTAGGTTCATTAAGTCGTGTAGAAGATGACCAGAGAGCCTACATCTATCTTCCAGGAGGTCTTCTCCTCCATGTCTCTCAAATTTTGGATTTAAAAACAAGGGAAACTTTATGATTATATTTAGCCTTATAGACTTTAACCTTATTTAAGTTGCCTTTAGCTTCTTTTGTCTATTCCTGGTTATTCTTTGCTGCCTCCTACAGTCCTTTCCGTTCCCCTTACTTCTGTCCACACCTGCTCCTTATTAACTAATCAGTCCTCCCGTTGTTTTTGTCTCCCTTACAGACACCTCATGTTCAATTGCTCAGCACTGGATCCTCATCATTTTTTAGGTTCATTCCCCTCTTGTGTCTCCTAGTTTTTTGATGTTCTTGTCAATTGTTCTGGACTATGGATTCTGTACTTACTCCTTCATTAAATTTTGCAAGTAATCATCTCTGCCTCTTTAGCTCTGCATCTGGATCCACAACTAACTTCCATTTAAACCTTACAGCAGGATCCAGCCAAGAAAAATGGACCCAGCAGAATTCCCCATCAGAGGAAGCCACGACAGCCTCCCCGATGGGTCAGCCTGAAGTTGCCACGGCCTCCCCATTTGGTCAATCTGAAGCCGCCACGGACTCCTCGATGGGTCAGTCTGAAGCCGCCACGGCCTCCCCGATGGGTCAGCCTGAAGTTGCCACGGCCTCCCCATTTGGTCAGTCTGAAGCCGCCACGGCCTCCCCGATGGGTCAGTCTGAAGCCGCCACGGCCTCCCCGATGGGTCAGTCTGAAGCTGCCACGGCCTCCCCGATGGGTCAGTCTGAAGCTGCCACGGCCTCCCCGATGGGTCAGTCTGAAGCCGCCACGGCCTCCCCGATGGGTCAGTCTGAAGCCGCCACGGCCTCCCCGATGGGTCAGTCTGAAGCTGCCACGGCCTCCCCGATGGGTCAGTCTGAAGTTGCCACGGCCTCCCCATTTGGTCAGTCTGAAGCCGCCACGGCCTCCCCGATGGGTCAGTCTGAAGTTGCCACGGCCTCCCCGATGGGTCAGTCTGAAGCCGCCACGGCCTCCCCGATGGGTCAGCCTGAAGTTGCCACGGCCTCCCCGATGGGTCAGTCTGAAGCCGCCACGGCCTCCCCGATGGGTCAGTCTGAAGCCGCCACGGCCTCCTCGATGGGTCAGTCTGAAGCCGCCACGGCCTCCCCGATGGGTCAGTCTGAAGCCGCCACGGCCTCCCCGATGGGTCAATCTGAAGCCGCCACAGCCTCCTCGATGGGTCAATCTGAAGCCGCCACGGCCTCCCCGATGGGTCAGTCTGAAGCCGCCACGGCCTCCCCATTGGGTCAGCCTGAAGCCGCCACGGCCTCCTCGATGGGTCAATCTGAAGCCGCCACGGCCTCCCCGATGGGTCAGTCTGAAGCCGCCACGGCCTCCCCGATGGGTCAGTCTGAAGCCGCCACGGCCTCCCCGATGGGTCAATCTGAAGCCGCCACGGCCTCCTCGATGGGTCAATCTGAAGCCGCCACGGCCTCCCCGATGGGTCAGTCTGAAGCCGCCACGGCCTCCCCGATGGGTCAGTCTGAAGCTGCCACGGCCTCCCCGATGGGTCAGTCTGAAGCTGCCACGGCCTCCCCGATGGGTCAGCCTGAAGTTGCCACGGCCTCCCCGATGGGTCAGTCTGAAGCCGCCACAGACTCCTCGATGGGTCAATCTGAAGCCGCCACGGCCTCCCCGATGGGTCAGCCTGAAGTTGCCACGGCCTCCTCGATGGGTCAGCCTGAAGTTGCCACGGCCTCCCCATTTGGTCAATCTGAAGCCGCCATGGACTCCTCGATGGGTCAGTCTGAAGCTGCCACGGCCTCCCCGATGGGTCAGTCTGAAGCCGCCACGGCCTCCCCGATGGGTCAGTCTGAAGCCGCCACGGCCTCCCCGATGGGTCAGCCTGAAGCTGCCACGGCCTCCCCGATTGGTCAGTCTGAAGCTGCCACGGCCTCCCCGATGGGTCAGTCTGAAGCTGCCACGGCCTCCCCGATGGGTCAGCCTGAAGTTGCCACGGCCTCCCCGATGGGTCAGTCTGAAGTTGCCACGGCCTCCCCGATGGGTCAGTCTGAAGCTGCCACGGCCTCCCCGATGGGTCAGCCTGAAGTTGCCACGGCGTCCCCATTTGGTCAGTCTGAAGCTGCCACGGCCTCCCCGATGGGTCAGTCTGAAGTTGCCACGGCCTCCCCGATGGGTCAGTCTGAAGCTGCCACGGCCTCCCCGATGGGTCAGCCTGAAGTTGCCACGGCGTCCCCATTTGGTCAGTCTGAAGCTGCCACGGCCTCCCCGATGGGTCAGTCTGAAGCTGCCACGGCCTCCCCGATGGGTCAGTCTGAAGCCGCCACGGCCTCCCCGATGGGTCAGTCTGAAGCTGCCACGGCCTCCCCGATGGGTCAGTCTGAAGCTGCCACGGCCTCCCCGATGGGTCAGCCTGAAGTTGCCACGGCCTCCCCGATGGGTCAGTCTGAAGCCGCCACGGCCTCCCCGATGGGTCAGTCTGAAGCCGCCACGGCCTCCTCGATGGGTCAATCTGAAGCCGCCACGGCCTCCCCGATGGGTCAATCTGAAGCCGCCACGGCCTCCCCGATGGGTCAATCTGAAGCCGCCACGGCCTCCCCATTGGGTCAATCTGAAGCCGCCACAGACTCCTCGATGGGTCAATCTGAAGCCGCCACGGCCTCCCCGATGGGTCAGTCTGAAGCCGCCACGGCCTCCTCGATGGGTCAGCCTGAAGTTGCCACGGCCTCCCCGATGGGTCAGCCTGAAGTTGCCACGGCCTCCCCATTGGGTCAGTCTGAAGCCGCCACAGACTCCTCGATGGGTCAATCTGAAGCCGCCACGGCCTCCCCGATGGGTCAGCTGAAGGCCCGGCCTCCCCGTGGGTTTTAGCCGAAAAATCC